TTTTTCCTCCTTTATTGCCTCAAAAATCGTAGCTATCTCCTTTTCCACTTCTTCATCCATATTTTCGAAGAGGGTTTGTTTATCGTCCAAGGGATACCAGTCAATAAGCTGAACAACATATGCATCAAGACGCTTAGAAAAGACATCTGTTAGAGTTTTGTGAAACGGCTCAGGAGAATTTGAGACATTAACAGCCGCCTTGCTTGCCCTAAGGCAAATAAGGAGGAATAATATGTATGTCACAGTATTTGAGCTTAGAAGTCGGTCTGAAGGGTCAACAAGGCTGTCAACGGCGCTGGATATACCGTTAATAAATTCTTGGACAAGCGTCTTCGCATCTGATGACTCCAAGAGTTCTAATATCTCAATCCCTAGGAATAGTTCACCTGGCTGGCAGACTATGGACTTAGACCCCTTGATAACATGACCAAGTCGCTCAAGAACCGTAGGTGATGGGATATAAGAAAGGTATTTTTCAAGTAGTGTGTCCAATTCCTTAGAGTCTGATGTCCTAGCTCGCGCAATCGCCCATTCACACACAACCAGACCAGTCATATAAATTAGCCACTCGGTTTCTCGGTATGTCTGGGCGAGTTTCTGTTTATGATTTGATGGCTGTTTCTGAAGGTAACCTCCACGTCCAACCCTGACAATCCGAAACGCAAGCTCGATTGAGCCTTGACATAATGCATTGAGAACAACACGAGATCCTGAATCGTAAAAATTTGCGTAGGTACGTTCTTCAGTTACCTCGATATTCTGAGACTCCCGAGTATTTAGGCGGGTCAAGCCGAGAGCATCAAGCAAATCCCGAGAAAATATGCGTTCTTCTACTGTGGATGATTCGCTGGAGAAGGGATAGAATATGTTAAATAGGAAGCATTTGTTGTCGAGGGATTTTCCGTGAGGCTCGTGAAATTCTTGGTATCGAAACTGACGAGCATTTGCCAGGGGGGTTCCTGGAGGAGCATTCACATTTAAATCCCGGAAATCACACGGATTATCGACGATACAGAATCCATACGTCGTCATTACTGTTGTATGTTAGCTAGACTTGATATTCCAGGGGAATGACACGTACATTGCTGGTTATTAAGTGGTCCGTAATTATTATGAACTTCCTCTCCACTAGAAGTAGGCTCTATAACTTTCAGTCCTATCTCGGTGGCTTCTGCTCGCCATTCAATCTTTGCCAGTGGCTTGTGGTTTGAAGAATCAACTAAAGGAAGCATGATTTGAAACTCCTCGTCCTGTTTGAGAGTTGGGTGGTTGGAGAAATACGCATCCAGAACTCTTGATGTGAATGCACGAGAAGCTATTAGGGTATATGCCCAACAAAAGATATCCCTGAGGCACATCGATGATTAGTACACGATGTTTTTAGTTATAGGCGGACGGTATTCTCTTACCATCTGTATGATTCGACAGCCAAAAAGCCTTCATCTCGTAAGATGGATATTGCTGAATCATACTCCTCTTGTACTGCGTTTCTGTATGCCTGGTGGGTTTGGTACAAGTTGGTACCTTGTAGCCATTCAAGATCATTATCTTGGTAGAAGAGAGCAGATGTAAATTCGCTAGCCCTTGGAAGTGTTGCCAGGTATGGCCACCAATGGGAGTCCCTTCCCTTCAGCTGTTCATGCACCATGAAAAATGCCAGAATGATGGACTTCCTGACTCTCTGAGACAATATATCAGAACAGCGGAAGTCGTGAGATGGAAGGTTGGGATCCAAATTCTTCACATTGATTATCGACATAGTTGCAGAAATTGGACATCTTGCCACAACTGTTGAAGCAGTCAGAGCTTCGTTGCTTCGGACACGAAGGCACGATCCTTGCTTATCGTCTCTATGGATTTCAACAGCTGGATTTAGCCCTCCCCCGAGAGTTGTAATCCAATTGACCAATTCTTGGTCGGCTTGCAACTTTTCAGATAACGAAGCAGGAGGGCTGTCAAACTTGAATCTAACTGATGGTCAGTTTACGATACATCTCCTTCAGAAATGCCTAGGTAATACCTGTTGTTTTCCATAATGCATGCAATGGACGCAAAATGCTCCACTATTGTTCCGTAAAGATTGTTAGTAACAATTGTTTTCCTCGGTCGTCCATGAGTTCTATCAAAAGTATGCAAGCGTGAGAATTTATTTAAATCGTTACTTCGCTTAATTTAGGCGGTTCGGTATCTCGATACTTAGAAATCATCGTATAAGAGATTATTCTATTGGTATAATGGATTATTACAGTACTATATGCAAAAAGAAATGTATGCTAACCGTGATATCCTGCCAATATCACTATCCTCATTGCTTCCTCAGTCATTGTATGTCGTCTGTCGCCTGTCGTTTGGCGCCTGGCGCCTGGCGCCAGTGAAGTGCATCACGTGATTCAACCAATCAGACGCTGTGTAAAGAAACGACTTTGACCAACATCAACCTCACGAAGGCCGCAAAAGTCGCAGCATCACCAGCTTCAAACCCGCATCTTCTATTGGGCTCAATTGGAGTCGAGCAACGAAGGGTGACCTGCCCATCATGATCTCCAGAGCTGCTGTGGCTCCGCCAGCCCACGCCATTCCCTATGTCTCGTCTCGCGCCCTGACCTCCGCGGCCGCCGCATTTCTCCCTCGCTTGACATCTGCACAGCCGGCCGTTAAACAGTCGACCGCACCACAAAACCAGCAGCAGTCACAGCAATTAGCACAGCAGCAGCCGCAAGCACAGCGACGAGGCTTTGCTACCGTTCAAGATGGCGCTGCTGCGCACCCACCACGGGTATACGGTGGATTGAAGGACCAGGACAGAATATTTCAGAACTTGTACGGACGACATCCTCCGGACCTAAAGCATGCCATGAAATGTGGAGATTGGTACAAGACGAAGGAGATTATTCTCAAGGGTCATGACTGGGTGAGTTCGCGTCATTCAAAATGCCTGGTTTCAGATATGTGATTCTCGGAGTGAACACCGCTAACTAATGTCTTTCGATAGATCATTTCTGAGATCAAAACATCCGGGCTTAGAGGCCGAGGTGGTGCCGGATTCCCATCTGGTTTGAAATGGGTATGTTTAATTCTCAATTCCGTCGCTACAACCTGTTCAAGGACCCCCGAAATGTATATTGGGAGGGTACTTTACAGCATTTCTCGATTGCCTTTTATCTAACGGTTCCATTCGGTACAGTCTTTCATGAACTTCAAAGATTGGGACAAGGATACCAAGCCCAGATACCTCGTCGTGAACGCTGATGAGGGTGAGCCCGGTACCTGCAAGGACCGTGAAATTATGCGCAAGGACCCCCACAAGCTCATCGAAGGATGTCTCGTCTCCGGGCGTGCCATGAACGCAACTGCAGCATACATCTATATCCGAGGTGAATTCTACGAGGAGGCCACTGTTTTACAAAAGGCGATCAACGAAGCCTACGCTGCGGGCCTCATTGGAAAGAATGCCTGCGGTTCCGGATACGACTTCGACGTCTACATTCACCGTGGAATGGGCGCTTATATCTGTGGTGAAGAAACTGCTCTAATTGAGTCAATTGAAGGCAAGGCCGGAAAGCCCCGTCTAAAGCCTCCGTTCCCTGCTGCCGTCGGTCTCTTCGGCTGTCCCAGCACTGTCACTAACGTCGAAACTGTTGCTGTCGCTCCCACAATCTGCCGTCGTGGTGGTAAATGGTTTGCTGGCTTTGGCCGTGAGAGAAACCAGGGAACCAAGCTGTTCTGTATCTCTGGCCATGTCAACAACCCCTGCACCGTTGAGGAAGAGATGTCTATCCCTCTCCGCGAACTGATTGACCGTCACTGTGGCGGAGTTCGAGGTGGTTGGGACAACCTCCTTGCCGTTATTCCCGGCGGTTCTTCCACTCCCGTGCTTCCCAAGCACATCTGTGACGACCAGATGATGGACTTTGATGCTCTTAAAGATTCTCAATCCGGTCTCGGTACTGCTGCCGTTATAGTCATGGACAAGTCTACCGATATCGTTCGCGCAATCTCCCGGCTCTCTGCTTTCTACCGCCACGAAAGTTGTGGACAATGTACCCCTTGCCGTGAAGGAAGCAAATGGACTCTGCAAATGATGGAGCGATTCGAACGTGGCCAGGCCCGTGAACGTGAAATCGATATGCTTCAGGAACTCACTAAGCAAGTTGAAGGCCACACCATTTGCGCTTTGGGTGAGGCTTTTGCTTGGCCTATCCAGGGCTTGATCCGCCACTTCAGACCAGAACTTGAAGGCAGAATACGTCAGAACGCGCAGGCAAATGGAGGAAAGGAGGTCTTTGCCGGTGGTTGGGCTCCCAACACCCGTCAAGAGGGCAAGTTGATTGCTCCTGGACAGTAGACGGGAAATGGACCCTCAGCTCGAACTGGTTTTAGGGGTAAGGGTTAAATATGTCTTTTTAGCAAATGTATTAATCATTACAAGAAGACCACGCATTTTCACTCTTGCTCTCCTAGAGCCCTGTATATTGCGGATGGTGGCAACGCTTGATTTCCATCGTGTCATCTGTTTTTTGTCATCCATCCTGATTCGCATGTTCAAAATATTTGCGGTTTGCTTTCTTTTCTGCGTTTCATATGTTTTATGTATGGACTTATAAGGCAATATTCACCTTTTACACTTTAGAAAACTTCCTGTCTACACATTCTGTTCAATCAATGAAAGCCTAGAGAAATACTTGTTTGGGGATTCATTCTTTGATTCAATAGCTAGCTAATCTATCTAAGAAAATTCGTAGGTTTTTGTGGCTATGGTCAAATCAGAGTGTTGGATCGGGGATAGACGGGGGGGATTTTAATAAAACAGTGTAAGGGGCATAATGAGATGGTGATCAGTGATAATAAAACAGGAAATGGAAAGGGTTAAGAAATTAGGAACAAGTAGCATAAAACGCCCACAAGGATCAAAAGAACAAAGGGAATGCCGAAGTAGGTCATCATGATAATCTGAAAACTTCAGGGGGACATTGGCCGACATAGGGAAGCGATGACTTGCTCTAAGTACTTCCGCCAGCCATGATCGCGTTATAGTAACGTCGGCTGACTTCCGCAGTGTGCGTGAGTCGAGCGTCTCGAGTCAACGGGAGGTTAAGAATTGTGGAAGACTCGATGTTCTGGTTGATATGTTAGATTTTGTTTGTTGATAATCCATATGAGACACGGCAAGACTTACGTTTCCAACATCTTTTGTAGCCCATCCCGCAACCAGACGGCTCATTTCCCTAAAAGCAATGCGCTCATACAAGCTAGAAGTTGCTGACTTTTCAACTTTTCCACCAAGGTGTGCAAGTGCCTTGAGCAATCGTTTGAGCGGAGCTGGGTCTCTCCATCCTCCCTTTGCACTCACCAGCTGGAGGAAATCCTGGTATACGGCACCACCATCCGCCCAGTCTCTAACTCTTCGTTCTGGGCTTTCCCCAAATCCACTAAGCAGCGAGGCAAGCGTATCATAATCCCTTTCAATAACTGCCTTAGGGGCAACAATGCGGTAGAAGGTTCCATGGGCCTCGTTCCAGTGTTTGGCATGGATGAGACACTCTACTTCACTAGCAATATCGCCAACAGCTCGGGAGTGCAGCGCCTTAGAAATCCAAAGCCAAGCTGGTGGGACCTGAAGTTCCACAGTAAGATATGTCCATAGAGAACTTGGAGTTCCATTCTCAGCTGTTGGAGAAGGAATCAAAGAGGCAAAACGACTCAAAATCTCCTTTACACTCCGCTCCCGGTCTGAAGGGCGGGAAAGATGTAGGAGGACAAACAAAGCGGGTGCATATTGTTCGGCAGTAGTGAGCTCCCAAGAAAGGTCCAAAGCAAGTTGGTCTGCTCGAGATTGGTCCACTGCAAAAACGTCGTGATGTCCTACCACTTTAGATAGATGGTGGAACAGTTGGAATGATAGACGATTGTGCAACATGTGACCGGAAACTGCAATTGGAGTAATAGCAGCTGGCATCTGAATTGGGGCGATTTCTGGGTGAGTACCATCGTTAACGGCGAGGGTATAAGTTTTCAACAAAATCCAGAAGGGAGACTCGCGACCAATAGGGTCGTCATCAGGTTTTTGGTTGGAGTCTTTAGTGGTCACAGTGAGTGGATGCTGGGGTTCACCTTCATGGTATACATCATGATGGAATAAGGTCACAGCGTCCTCAATTGGATCATCGTCTGAGATTCCATACCATAGCCGGAGGCCAAATGCCTGGAACCAATCAAGTTCAAAACGGTCTGACATATTGAAGGTTGAGATCCGCTCCTCTGGGGGCCCGCTTGGTTTTCCTTCACTGCGTAGGCAGTTACCTGCAAGCAGCTCATAGATGGCCCGAATAGGCTCGCTAATTTCACAAGAGATACCGGCCTTGCGCCATGATTCTATCTGGTCTTGCATAGCTTTCCTGGTATCTTCATCACGGCCTATCTGCGAAACGAGAGACGCCAAGTGTGGGTTCCCAGAATCAATAAGTAACTTGCATGCCTCCTCAACACGATGGGCACACAGGTAGGAAAAGGCGCGTTCTTCCGGCGTTTTGAGCTCTCCAGTCTCGTTGGGATGATGGGCACGAATCATTGTTTCCCACAACCGACTAAGGCGGTCTTTCTTGATACGATGTTTATAGTTATCAAGCAGTCCAGCAGGGACGCCCTCAGAAATATCGTCTTCCAAATCATCATTGAACAAGATGTTAGCCAATTGCCACAGCCACCTCTCAGTGTCCGCCGCTTTGGTAGTGTCAATAACAGCCTCTGCTAAGGCTCCAAAATTGGGAAGGGCCAAGGATGCAAAAGGCACGTTGTCGACTAGGCGAACAATTGATTTTGTTTTCTGCAATTGTAGAGGGTTTTGGGCCTTGAAAACATCACAAGTCAGTGAACGTGGCCATAGTTGAAGACAGCGGAAAAGTCGTACCTCAGCAGTTTCATGATCAAATTTACTAACGTTCACCAATCGTTTCTCTCCATAAACGGGTACCTCGGGTCTATTGTTTGGAAGCACAACCTCGTCAAGGACACCCCATCGTGCCTTGGTCGAGTGATGAAATGAGGCCTCGATTTCCGCCATTTCGCTTGATTTTCCCGCAAAAGTCTTGGGTTTCTTTGGATAAGGCCACTAGAGTAGAAAAAATTTAGTATAGTTTCATCTGCATTCTTGCTTAAGTACACAGAAAGTATGTAAAACGCAATTTAGATACATCTTGGATTGCATGACACGAAAAACGATTGAGATTTATTGAGTAGAAACGGGGAACTGGGGAATCAAACCTCTAATCCACTTTTGGCTTTCAATGATTGAGCAGGAGCAGGAGACGCCCCTTGCCGTTTGGGTTGTCGGAATAGTGAGTTCATAAGATCGATACTAGTAGTGAACTGCGTTGGGCGCTCTTCAGTTGCTTTCGACGTTGCGGTTGGGCTCTCATCTTCATCTCTGTCTAAAAAAGCCCTATCTTGGACCTCCCGGAGAGCTTGTCTATCTTGCTTTCGTGGACTGATAGTTCGTTGAAGTTGTTCAGCCCAGTTACCCTGAAGATTAAGGTCCGCGGACTTTGTAGGAGTGCCGAATCGAGGCATAGATTGAAATAAGTTGTTCTTTTTCAAGGGGCCAGTCAAGGTGAGCTCCACGGTTTGGTCAGGGACTGGGAAGGAACCAGCCATTTCCATATCCTCGTCCCTGTCCGATTCAAGTTCTGATGCAGAGGGTGACATGCTTTCCAGCTGTTCCTCACTTTCATTAGTAACTGAACCCGCGGAGCCGTCCTCTAAAAAAGAATCCTGGTCGGCTTCTTCTTCAGATTCCATGTCTTCCGGTAACGCCCCCATTCCATTTACCCCCTGGCGAGCATATGCCCCCGGAACGGGTTTCTTTTTCTTAAATTCAAAGGTATCATCTTCCAAACCGCTAACAGAGTCGTCAAAAAGGGAGCCTTCAATACTCATTGAGGTATCAAAATTGCGCATTCCGGACGACTGCGTGGGGGTCTGATCATTTGAAGCGACAGAGTCAGGAGCAGCGCTTAAAGTGCTTTGATTAAAGCTCTCACCTTCATCCTCGTCATCATCATCATAATCAAGTCCATACGTCGTAAAATGAGGGACAGTGAAGACCCAAGTACCGGTCTCCTTCTCATAGTCAATGAATTCAGTGTTCGTAACTTCCTTAAGACGTTTGATATGCTTCTCGAACGTTGGCCCAGAAGTGAATGGCGATGGGCTCCTCTTGTCTCTCCCACGAGGCCAGGAATTCTCAATGCGAAGAGTAGATGGCATGTTAAGGCCCTTGCCACGAGGAGGCTTAGTTGCCTCATCGGGGTAAACGGTGATAGAACGGATGGTGATCTTAGCAATCTTGTCAAAGATGTCATCAAGGTTGATGGTGGTTAGGTCAACTGGTCTGTCAAATGTAACAGATCCACAACGGACACGGCCAACTGTAAAATTAGGGACCTGTTTCAGCTCTTCACGGGACATTTTGCTGAGCTCTGCACGAGATGGCTTCATCCAATATTCACCAGGCTTAGGGTCCACGTTGGGAACAATAACGAGGGGTTTATTGGTTGGGGTGGTGAGAGCAGGTTGCTCGCCATTTTCTGGGACGGTAGCTAGCTCTTTGCCTCTGACTTGTTCCATCTGTGGGGTTGAGGATGCGCTTGGAGTGCCGTTAGGAAGCTCAACGCTCTTGGGCGCAGTTGGAGTAGAATTAGCAGAAGATTGTTTACGGGCAGACCTTAAGAATCCGAGCTCTTCGGGAGTGGGCTCAGAAGATTCAGATTCGACACGGACAATAGCCCCATTGGTCTTGTCAGCAGAGTCTCCTGGAGAGACAGCGTCATCAAAGCTGACTTTCTTCTTCAGTTTGCTAGATGGTGGTGCGGCCTCATCACCATTGGTCAACGCCGAGCGGGAAAACAAATCAGTGCGAAGGTTGCGGTCAATGGTCAAGCGCTTTAGGCTTCCACTTTGTCTAGAATTGCCGGCAGAGAAAGCTCCAGGGGAAAGAATGCTGTCAGTCTCTGGGTCCCAGGTCTTTCGAAGGCTACTGCTACCAGTCAAGCTCTTGCCAAAACTTCGTCCAAGGCTGCCACCGCTTCGCAGGCTTCCTCCAAAGATGCTGCTGCTTCCAGGGGTGCTCGCAGTACTGGAAGTGGAGTAGCTAAATCCATAGCCTTGACGAGTAGGGGGAGTAACAAGACGGTTTGCGGCAAGTGGGGAGATTTTATACATAGGTAGTGGTGTGCGCTGTTTTTGTTTCATGCTAGCGGACAGGGGGGTGGCTAGTGGACCTGGAGATGGGGTGTTGGGTGCAGGCAGGCCAGCGAAGATAGATTGACTGCCATATGGGTTACCATCAAGGAGAGACGCCTGGAACCCAGAAGGCGATTGCTGTTGCTGCTGTTGTTGCTGTTGGGATTGGCCAAATAAGCTGTTTCCGCCAGTTCCCAGTCCACCAGTCTGCTGTTGTTGTGTATTCTGAGTAGAATTTCCTAGGCCAAAAATGCTCGAGGATGCAGGGGCTGAATTGTTTCCGAACAATGAAGAACCTTGTGTAGGAGTCGTGCCAAACAAACTACCTGACTTCTGTTGTGTATTCCCGAACAACGAGCTAGTTTGCTGCGCAGGCTGGGAAGTGCCCAGGCCAAATCCAGAGGTGCCTGTTGTAGTGGTATTAGTTCCTAGTCCAGTACCAAACAGACCTCCAGGCTTCTGCTGCTGTTGGTTTTGCTGGGTATTGCCGAAGAGGCCACCACTGGTATTGGTCTGCTGATTCTGCTGACCAAAGATGGATGACCCTTGCTGTTGGTTATTATTGCCGAACAACGAACTGCCGGTCCCAGAAGTAGCGGGGGTACTTCCAAAAAGACCCCCGCCCGTTTGCTGCTGTGGTTGAGTTTGACCAAAGCCCCCGAATGCCGGCTTGGCTTGGTTTTGGTTCTGGCCAAATGAGCCGAACCCACTGCTTCCCTGCTGGCCGAAAGTGGTCGAAGTTTGGGTATTGCCAAAAGGCGAAGAGTTAGTGGTGTTCGTCTGTGTACCGAACCCAGTTCCTAGGGTCGGAGTGGCAGTGGTACCAAATCCAGTCGTCTTTTGTTGGGTATTGCCGAACAAGCCACCGCCACCAGTATTGGTTCCTCCGAACGCATTGGTCGTCGAGGTACCAAACCCCCCAGTAGTTCCAGTGGTTCCAAAGCCTGTAGAGGGCGTGGAACTGGTTTGGCCGAATATACCAGTAGCCGGTTTTGTTGCTCCAAACAGTGGGTTAGAAGTGTTTGATCCAAAGCCAGTGTTCTGAGTCTGATTTTGCGTTCCAAAGCCGGAGGTAGCTGTGGTGGAACCACCGAATGGAGATGAGCTGGCAGCAGTAGTACCAAAGCCGCTGGATCCTTGTCCAAACCCAGAGAAGGAGCCAAATGCACCAGGCTGGCCGCTAGCATTTCCATACCGCCTTCCTTGTTCATAATCGGCAACGCGTAATTCCTATGCATGGTTAGCTATATCGTTATTTGAAGACAATTATGATTTGCTTACCTCGAAGGAGTATTTCTGATACGGGGTCATAAAGCTTATGCTTTGGTAGTTGCTGGTGTTTGAGGAACCAGGGTCCTTTTCCGTAAACGGGCTGAATGTTGGGTTGGCGGTACCCTGAGAGGGCGGGACTTCACCAGCGAGGGCAGTTCCACTGCCACCGAATCCTGAGGCAGCCGTAGTAGCTCCAAAGCCTGTTCCAGTGTTGGTAGCTGGACTAGAAGTTGAAGTGCCTCCAAATATACTTCCGGTTTGATTACCTGTTGACCCAAACCCGCCAGACGGTTTGCTGCCGAAAATTCCACCACCCGTTCCGGTGTTTGACGTTGAGCCAAAGCCACTTGTACCCGTTCCAAATCCGGATGAGCCGAACGCGGATGTTTGGGTGTTTGAACCGAATCCACCACCAGTAGTGGTGCTTGTGGAGCCGAATGGTCGATTTTGGCCGCCGAACAACGAGTTCGAAGTATTAGTATTTGACCCAAATCCTAATCAAAAGTCACAAAAGGTTAGCACTTCCGCAGATGTTAAGGTATTCGACATGCATAGACAAATAAAGAAGAAAAAGTAAAAATTAAAAAAAAAAAAAAAAAAAAAAAATCTCGGGTCCATTGGCAGCGAAGGCTCAAGAGTGATGATAATAATCTCCGGAATATTGATTCCGTATCTCAAGGTTGTCTGGTAGTAGTTCAACCAGATATATCAGAGTTGCGAGCCACGCCATGCGAGATCCAGAAAGAGCGGGGCTGGAGGGCGCATATAAAACCAGCTGCCTTGGATCCGCGGATAGAATGAAAAGAGTTGTATTCAAATGGATTGCCGATAAAATACTCCGTCCCAAGAAAGAAATGTCGAGATGGCCAAATTTCAACCATTCCCTTTCCATCGTTTTTAAAAGCGACAAGGATAAAACAAGGTCTGTGTTGACGTACCTCCTCCAGTCCCGAATCCACCGGAAGAGCTTCCGAATGTATTACCGGTGTTCGAGGTACTTCCAAAAAGGGGAGTCGATCCAAAGCCTAAATGTACCAAAGAAAAAAGGGAAAGGCAGAAATTCTTGGTTAGAGGAGGGTTGTTCTCTTTCTTTTATGTCCGCGTGGTGTCGATATTGTTCCCAGCTGAGTTTGTTCCAGAGTCGCAGTTTTTATTCATCGTTTGCGCCTTTTTGTCTTCTTTTGATCTTCTTCTTTTTGAATTGTGGCGTGGCAGTATTTGTAGACAAGATTCTTATGCCCCGATGAAATGCATCTCCTCGTTTCAAGCTCATGGTGGAAACAACACGAACCATATAAAACAATCAAAGTAAAGAATCAAGGGAAGGGGAAGGGTATCATGGAGAAAAATATAGACGGCCTACCAGTGTTTCCAGAAGTGTTTCCGAACCCAGTTGATCCGAATCCAGTGTTTTGCTGTTGAGTATTGTTGGAGCCAAAGCCCCCAAAAGAGGAGCCAGTCCCGAATCCCGACATCGCGTCTCGCGTTGTTAAGACTTCTAGCGAAAGCAAAACAGGATTATTGAGCCATGAACGGGCAGGTCTCAAAAATGCGAACGCAGCCTGGGAGGCCGAAAGGGTAGAGAAAGCGGGTGGTTGGCGCCGTCAACTTGCTGCGAGGTTGGGCTGGCAGGTGAGGTCGCGACGTGCAGAGGCAAAAAGAGCTTGCGAAACCGACAAAGAGGCTGATCGAACGGGATTTGTTCACAGATATGAGCAACTTATCTGCTTTCCCGTGCTTCAGAAGAAGAAACAGAGAGAATGAAGGGTGTTTGCACAGCGGACGCTGAGAAAACGCGGATGTTGCTGCTCTTAAGGAAAAAAAAGTTGAGGTTCGAAGAGAGTCGACACAGTTAGCCCAAAGGGGAGTGTTGGTCAGGTGATGCAATTAGTCATGCTGCTGCCTAACAAAACTTAAATACGACAGCACATCGGCGGCACTATCCGAATCAGGTAAAGCGCCATTCCTATCGTCCATCGCTCTGCCGCTCCCGTCTTCGGGTAACTTCTCGACAGAGCCTCACCGGTGCCACATCCACATCAGCAAACAGACTCCTTAAACTCTCGACAACCGCCTATACTCAAACAGGTTCTTATTTAAAAATAACTTTGGTTTGACCCGTTTTAATAAACTAACAGGAGCCGAAGAATGAAGCACTAACTTTAGTCAATGCTGAGTTGTCAATAACTATTCATGTGCAGGTAGCTACTCATCGAGCGGTTTATTGATAAACAACTGTCCAATCCTTCTCATTTATCACAAAAGGCACTCCTATGAAGAATTATATCTTTCCATCAGGGTAGAAATACCGTTCTGGAAGCTAGTACTGTGCTCTTAATTGCAGGCTGATGATCTAGGAGAGGCGAATATGCACTTTTTCAGCCACTAACAATGCTTCCGAATATATGGTATGATGCTTGGCAACTTTTCACAACCTTTCAATATGGAATTTCTTCCTTACCTAGCTATGTGATCATGATTTTGTGACTAGTCTATATAGTATTCGTCTCCTCATATCCCTTCTATTCTCCTTCTCCACGAGCTTACTACCTCGCCGAGCCCGGGTCCCGGGTGGAAATAGGTGTATCGTTTGACATGATCATGGCAATTGCTGCATATTAAATAATATCAGGAGTGTAGTTTGCATCATGGACGAGAAGATTTTGCCTGTAGGCCGATTTTTTTTTTTTTTTTTTTTTTTCCCGTGGTTCCGTGATTAGAATAAATGATTTCAAGAATCATCTCTTTCCGCAGAATGCCCACGCTCCAAGTCTTTAACCCATTGTTTGTAGTAGCTTTCCCACTTCGACTTGATGGCCATTCCAGCCTCCGGATTCAGTGAATTCCATCCGTATACACTCAATGCAGTAGTTAAGTTAGGGGACATTTCCACTCGGGCCTCCCTCACTCCCCTCAACTGTCGAAAAATATCCAAGTATGATGGTAGGGCGTCAATAGCTCGCTCGAGGCCATAATGACTATGCCACCATATCGTATAAGAAGGGTCAACAGAGAGCTTCATGCAGGTATCACGAAGCAGCGCTACAATAAGCGTAAGGTTGTTAATGGTTGCCTCCTGCATTTCATCATAGAACTGGAAGTGAAATTGTTTGAAACGTTGCCACGAGCCAGGTCGTACTGACAGGCAGACTTTTTTGAGTATGGATATATTTTCGTTCCTTAAAGAAATGTTGCATACAAGTTTTCGATGGAGGAGGTCGCATGCGTCCTGGTAAATTTGGCGATTTACTCGTGCCATGTGCAGAATACTAAAGTACGTATAGAGTGGAACATATTCTTTCTGGTACTCATCAAGAATATATGAGAATATCTGTTGACGGAGTTCAATCGGTAGACGGATGATGAAGCATGGCAGAGGCGAATCCGCATGTTTGGTGCAAACTTGTCGTCTTTCAGACCAGGGTATCTTTTTGAGGCACTTGCGATTGTTCTCGAGCACTGCCTGGCAGCGAGTTACGGTCTCTCCCTGTTTCCGATGAGCCCAGCAGACGGGAATTTTGCGTGAAGCCTTGGTATTCGCTCGGTTTTTGCATGGAACGAAGGAATGTGTCAGGGCTTCACAGGGGGGTGGTATTTTCTTCTCCCTAGGCGTTGCTCCTAGGCTCTTTTTGCCTTTGTGCCCGCGGTCAGTTCTGGAGGAGCTGGATCGTGGCATCTTAGGACTTTATCGCAGTAATAGAAGAGTATAATAAGAATACAGGATGGGGGAGAGGACAGAGAGCCTAGAGTACATAGTACTGCGAGAAAGGACGCTGGAGCCTAGGGCCAAGAAGGAGTTAAGAGTTCGGCTTTAACTAACTAGCTAACTAGTTAAGTGGGAGACGCGCTTCGGTGAGACGACGCGGTCGTTTAGAGGCAACTAACTAGTTATTGATCATAGAGAGGTAATCTATTTGAAATATCCATGATATAATTGGCTGAATGAGCTAAGGGCCTATTCTCTCGTGCTACAACGTCAATATTGAACATTTGATAAGGACCAACAAACAGCAACAAGACTCGATATTCTTGGGTAAATCTTGCTCAGGCTATTTGGATAGTGTATCGCTATTTATATAACGGTTTAAAAGGCTCAGCAGTGCAAGAAAAAGACGATACCCACCGCAACAACATCAAGAAGATTCCACCTCATTTCTTCTTTGTTGCCTCATACATCTCGATAATCTTGGGAACCACCGTTGGATCCGAAAGCTAAAGAGTCATCAGTCATGAGTCACCGACAAGCCCAAGGTCTATAGCAGCCTAAAAGTGTACTTACAGTCGAGATATCGCCTAAGCTGTCAGCTTCGCCGCTCAAGATCTTCCTGAGAATACGTCGCATGATCTTTCCACTGCGAGTCTTGGGCAGGTCTTCAACGACATAGACCGCCTTAGGAGCTGCAAAGGGTCCGATAGATTTTCGAACCTGCATTACTAACTCCTTGCGGATCTCCTCGCCGATTTCGTTGCCTGTCTTGAGGGCAACGAAGGCGTTGACTGCCTGGCCGGTGAGCTCATCGTGTACACCAACGACGGCAGCCTCGGCAACGGAAGCTACATATTTGTCAGCCTAACTACTCTATACCTCCATCCTCCACAGAAATGGCAGCCTTACAGTGTGTGATGAGAGCAGCTTCTATTTCAGCGGTAGAAAGTCGATGGCCGGAGACGTTCACGACGTCGTCAACTCTTCCTCTGATCCAGTAGTATCCGTCATGGTCTCGGCCGGCGCCGTCTCCAGTGAACTATTTCTGGAATTAGCATGTAAAGAAACTAATTTGGTCTTTGCTTATTCAAGCTACTCACATAGAATCCTGGGTAGACATTGAAATAAGTGTCCATGTATCGCTTGTGGGCACCCCAAACTGTGCGAGCCATGCTTGGCCACGGTTGCTTGAATGCCAATACACCCTCTACATCGTTACCCTTCAGTTCTTCGCCGGTAACTGGGTCGACGATGGCAGGCTCAATGCCGAAGAATGGCAGAGAGGCGCTTCCCGGTTTGGTAGGAGTGATTCCACCAAGGGGAGTAATGACGTGAGAGCCAGTCTCGGTTTGCCAGTATGTCTGTATTTACTGATCTTAGACTCCTGCTTTAGAAAACCAGAAGGATCCAATACTTACGTCGACAACTTGGGCCTTTTTCTTGCCAACAACTTCATAGTACCATTTCCAGATCTCAGCTGCAATTGGCTCACCAACACTTCCCAATACTCGGAGGTCCTTCATATCATGGTGGATATGCTGGTCACCAGCACGCTTGAGAAGTCTGAGTGCGGTTGGTGCAACGTAGAACTGCGTGACCTTATTCTTTTCAATGACATCCCAGTATCTCGAGAAGTTCGGATAGGCAGGAGTACTCTCGAAAACAACTGTGGTCGCACCGAGAAGCAGTGGAGCGTAGACAACATAGGTATGTCCGGTAATCCAACCAACGTCTCCACCGCAGAAGAATCGGTCTTCCTCATGAATGTCAAAGACGTATTTACCAGTTGCGGCGGCGCCAACCAGATAACCAGCAGTGGTGTGCATCAATCCCTTGGGCTTGCCGGTTGAGCCTGAAGTGTACAAGAGGAAAAGAGGGTCTTCCGAATCCATGGACTCAGGAGCAATATAGCTAGGATACTTCTCAACCTCCTCGTGCCACCAGAGATCGCGTCCTTGAGTCCATGGAACCTCTGCTCCAGTCCTCTTGAACACGATGCAGCTAGTCACTCCAGGACACTGCTTCAAAGCCTCGTCGACAATCTTCTTGGTTCCGATGAGTTTTCCGCCTCGCTTGCCCTCGTCAGAGGTAATGACAACCTTGGAGTTGGCGTCATTGATACGGTCACGCAGCGAGTCGGACGAGAAGCCTGCAAAGACGACAGAGTGCACAGCACCAATGCGAGAACAAGCAAGGAAAGCAACCAGAGCCTCTGGAATCATAGGCAAATAGATGGCCACCGTATCTCCCTTCTTTACCCCCTGCTGCTTCAAAGTCCAGGCAAAGCTCGAGACTTGCTTAAGCAGCTCGCCGTAAGTGATGCTGCGCCCTTCGCCAGGTTCATCGGCCTCGTAGATGATAGAAACCTTGTCCGGATTCTTGAGCGCATGACGGTCGACACAGTTGTAAGAAGCATTCAGCCTTCCACCAACAAACCAAGCATTATCACCTCCCTTTAAGGAGCCGATGTGCGTCGTGTTGAAGTCTTTATCAAAGGTCACTAATTCCCGCGCCAGCCGCGCCCAGAAGGTATCCGGACTCGAGATAGACTCCTCATAAAGAGTCTTGTATTCCTCAAAGCTCTTCAGGTGCGTTTTGGTGGAGTGCTGGTGGTACTCCGCAGGCACACCAACGGTCTCGACCTGGTGGGCTTCCACGACCTATGCGCCAGTTAGCCACGCCGTCTTTTGTTCGCTCTCTCGCTTGCATAACACATAATAAACGTACCACCGGGGCCTTAGCAGCGTCTACCTCTGCCATGATCGTCTTCCAACGCAGACTTGCTTGCGTGCGACCAGGGGTACAGATGATCGCGGGGTAGCGGGGTGTAGACAGCTAAGCCGGTGTCAAGAGGGCGTCTCGAGGCGAACACAGGGCCTTGCGCAGTACGACAAATCCTTCAGGAGGAGAAACAAGAGGGGAACCGAAGCGAAGACGGGAGATGGCCAATATAAATAAGAAGAAGAGAAAGAAGAAAAGGCCCCAAAAAATGGATCGGCTTCTCCAGAGCTGAGTTTATCATACCCGAAACTCCGTCTTGACTTCACCATCTCACTAACCCTCCGCACGCCAAACAGCGCCAGCCACATAAGTCGCACAGCAGCGCCAGGGATCTCGCAGGCCAGGGATCCATGCCGCATACCTTCTCCATCCTCCTGCTTCGGCACCCGCTGTCACCTCTTGAGGATGGTTTCCAAAGAGCGGCTCCCTACTAGTTAGTTCGCCGACTAGCTAGCCTAGCTATGCGGGGTCCCTCCATTCAACCGAAACAACTCAAGGCGAATCATACTACGCCTATATTATAACCACGGAGCACCACGGAGCAGTTACTCCGTCCAGCTTTTACTGATCACGATGAAGACAAGACGAAAAACACGGAAGCGCCGAGACCAGAAGATTAATGGGATACGCTTGAGGCCCCTTGCTGCAGTGACACAGGCAAGCCACCGAGGGGCCAGGTAGCAACACGGCATGCAGCAGGGTTACATACATGCCTGTTCAGTATGATGGACGGTTCTGTGAAGTACCTTCTGCAACCCATTGTCAGTTGATCTATCAGTTGGAGCTGCATTGTCTCTCTCTCGGCATCTTATTCCGCCTACTCTATACAACTCCAACTTTAGTCTGCCTTAGTTGCCCACAGCAGTGGATATATCTACGCCCTGACCATCTATCCCACAGGTGTTATTCGGCAGTGCGAGGACAAAAAGTCACCCGGCTTGTCGTTATTCTTGCCGTGTTATCCATCCATGAGTATAGAGACTCTAAGTAAGATAAATAGTGGAATCTTCTACATAGTCAATACCGCATACAAACTCCTTTTCTATAGTTATATAACTCAGAACAAGACCAGTTATTGGTAAGATTCGGATGATTCCCGGCTGCTCCTCCCGTGCATAAACTAGAGAAGTAATTTTCTAAACCATGCCCCTACACTAATACCCCCCTACAGCACTCGCCAACCCCTATAGTCCTATCAAAATGCCACTAAGCCAAAAGGGTGAAGAGGTGGAAAGATAAATTCTGCGCTTTTATGCAGGTTCTTCAACGGTCTAACTCCAACTAGGGGAAACGTACCAAAAGGCGCTGTTTCTTAGCGATTGCTGATGCTCATGGAAAGATTAACCTATCTCTATATGCAAGGCCGACTAGGCCAGACGAGTAAGCCCGTTCCTATGGAGGATGAAGTTATATTTTTGGTAAAGGCTTGAAGGTAGACATCTCATAACTACCGCATCCCCATACATAACACTTCTTCTACTAGTCAAGCTTTCTTGGCGGCAGCTTCGGCCCATCGAGGCGGTATTCCTCGAGGTTGTCATACGGCGAATTAATACGCAGAAAACATTTCATGGAGCATCATCATCATATATCATAAGTCAATCAATCATAGGCCCTATCCGCCGATGATGCCTACGTTCTAATCTTATTCCGTTTTGACCTTCCCCCAGTTATTCATCCATAGGGACCCGATGCCCAGTATAAAAATCATTATCTTGCCGTCCCTTAGAAGGTCAGACAGCACGCGTCTGCCCGTCTTGAGAACACCGATAACACCACTACCGGCTCCATTGCCATCATTATTCATAAATATCTCTCGTGTTCCAATAAGTAGCAACTCACCCATAACGAGGATAAGAAACGGGTTCTGCACAGTTGCGGGAGGCGGCAGTCGATCCCCGCCACCATAAAGATTAATAGTTGACTGCAGAAGCATCAAGAAATATAAGCTTGTAGCCGTTGCAAAGACAATATGAGCGGCTTTCCAGATCGAGTTGTTCCGTTGGGCGGACGGCGAGGCGGGCCCAGCTTTGGCTTGCAGAAATATATTGGCCATGGAAGGGGAGATTCCAAGGGCCGAAGCTATGTCATTGGGAGAGAGCTCCGGAGCATCACCAGTCGTGGGCTGAAAGGAAGGTGTTCCCCCTGGGGTTGTCATGCCAGCTCCGGGTGGAGGCATACCAAGTAGATTGCTAAGAAGTTTTGTCGTTGGATCTGCATTGTCTCCTGCCGAGGGAGGTGGCTGTTGAGATCGAAGAAGGGCCCTTATATACTCCTCTTGTTCCTTGATAGACTGTGGGGAGCTATCTCCGGCATTGGGGGGCATTCCTAGCCCAGTTGACGTTCCCAACGGTGGCTGTTGCCGTGGCGGTGACTGTGCGGGAGGAGAAGCATATCTTGGGGGGCTTGGAGTGTTTCTAGCAGACGGGGAGTCCTCACGAACTGTAAACACCACCATTAGCAAAGCTTCAAAGAGCGTAATTAAGCTGGGAACGACATACATGACATTGAACGGCCACTGATACCTGTTATCTTGTCTAATCGCGCATTTCCAGTGGCCGCTATCTTCGCAGCTCGCTTCTCCCGCCTTAGGCGAGCTGCACGCTGGGTCTTCGTTTCTTCTACCTCAGCCATCGTTACGCTTCTTCTCTGTCTTTCTCTCTGCCTTTCTCTCTGTCACTGTCACCGTTTGAGCTCCTTTATTTTATTTACTGTGAGTGACGTTAGTTAGGGCTGGACAGAAGAAGTGCCACGTGACCCTCAAATTGACGCCGGCTCGGGATAATATAACCCCGAAAGCCCCCTTGAGCCGCGGGCAGGTCCAAGCGCGATATAAAAGCCGATAGGAGCGGATTGGAAGACCTCAGGGGAATATCTATCTTCACATGGGAAATGGTCCGATGCGGAACATTTCTGATTCTCGATCGTACCTTAGATAGAATCATCTCAGATACCACCGCCACAGCAATGGATTCCAAAAAATGACGATCTATCTCACATAAAGCCGGGATTGGGAGGGATTACTTCATAATGCGTTGTAGACGCGAGGCCACCTGCCAGGTTTTCGGGGCCAGATCAGCAGCCTCCTTGACATGCCCATCTGCCGGATCCCGCTAACTGTGGCATCTGCAGTCTTTACCCAGTAAATACCAACCTTGGCCGTTTGTTTGGCTCGTGGATAACACGAACGGCAATGGCTCGCCACGTATGACGTCAGAGCCCAGACCTCCTTTCGAGTATCAATATCAAGGATATGGAAGGTCTTATATATAACGATTGCTCAATTAGAGTTGATAAGAAAGTATGCCTTCAGCAGGTTCTGCCTTCTCTTAAAGGCCCATCATCGACTCAATTGCGGTCATCGATCAATTCCATTTAATACTCGAGAAAGGATTCCGAGCTATCTACCTCAAATGATCGGCAGACCGCAAGGAATATTCCTACAATGACGACTCAAAAGAAGCCTGGGGGCTACTGGAGCGAGGCCAATCCCGTCCCTACCATACAGCAATTCATTGCTGAATTAGATGCTGGAAAGGCAGAGCGAGACAGGCAAATTGACGAGGAGGCTCGCAAGAAACCCACGCCGCAGAAACAACCTACAGGGGCAGCTGTTCCGCATAGGAAGCCCGTGCCAAAGACCAAAACCAAGGGCCGGGTGGTGACTGATCCAACTACAGGCACGGAGGTGGAAATTGATGATGTAGATGAGAACTTCAAGAAAGCTGTCAGGGACCCTCAGGTAAGATTTTACCCCTTTTTATATCCACGGATGGTTAAAGAGAAGGTTTTGGTATGCTGATGATAATGTGCCGCTAGTTATCTGTTCCTAATGCAAACCTTGGATTGCCAACAGTAAGCATAATCCAATTGTATATGTTTTGCCTGTATCATCCACACTAATCCTGCTTTTAGTCTGTTCAAACCAAACCATCGCAAAAACTGGAAGAGTACAAGCATACTCAGGATATCGTATCTCCGCCAGAGCCAATTGCGGCTGGAACTACGAGCGATGTGCCCATCCATGGGGAAAGAACCAACATATTATTTCACCCGACCCCATCAATCAGCTATGAGCCGATGTTTAAAATATTGGAGAAAAGGGCTGGAGTCCTATGCTCTGTTATCTTCGGCTCCATTCTGATTGCTGGCCGCTTCGCGGGAGGTGAATTGAAATGGATATTCCCGCTTGCCTGTTGTGTTGCAACGGGGGTATGGCTCTGGACTTATGATGTTATCCGTCGAGGGCGGACATTTGAATGGCATTCGGAAAAGCTCCGTGGACAAACAGTATGTTGGTCCCAGATTCTACACACCAGCTGAAGGTTCTTCATAGAATAGTATTATTGACATCATGGCCAGGCAACTGCAAATCTCCTTCCAGAGTCCGCAGAATGGCTGAATTCGTTTGTTGAGATATTTTGGGGCTTGATCAACCCAGATATGTTTGCTAGCGTTGCTGACACCATTGAAGATGTCATGCATGCATCGTTACCTGGAATAATCGAGAACGTCCGAATAGCTGAAATAGACCAAGGATCCAACCCCTTGCGCATAATCAGCTTGAGGTCATTGCCTGATGGGCAATGTTCAGATTTAATAGAAGGGCTGCGCAATTATAATCTGGAGAACAAAGACGAACAGCAAGCTGCCGCTGAGGAGGAAGGTGGCCAACCTTACAACCTTGAATGTACATTTGCGTACCATGCTAAACCTGGTGAAAACACCTTTTCCAGAGCACAAAACATGCACATGATGGTGGTTTTCTATCTCGGAGTCAAGGGTTTATTCGGTGTTCCCTTTCCTATTTTTGTTGAATTGTCAGAGCTCGTCGGCACTGTCAGGCTTCGTTTGCAACTCTCTCCTGAAGCACCATTCGCTAAGAGCTTGACATTCAGCTTGATGGGGATGCCACATATCCGAGCAGGCTGTACTCCCATGATCAAACGAGGAATCAACATCTTGAACCTCCCATTGATATCCAACTTTGTCAACTATGCCATTGGAGCGGCAGTGAGCATGTACGTGGCACCAAAATCAATGTCGCTTGATCTTGGTATGATGCTTGGAGGTGATGATATCCAAAAGGATACCAGCGCACTGGGCGTTTTCTGGGTGCGGATCCACCGTGCCAAGGGCTTAAGCAAGCAAGACAAGAGAGGAAGCAAGGGCGGTGGCAGCGATCCTTACATCAACCTGTCGTTTTCAAAGTACGGGAAACCGATGTATTGTACCAGGGTTATTTGCGATGATCTCAACCCAGAATGGGAAGAGTCTGCAGCTCTTCTTGTGACCCCGGAGCTTATCAAGGCCGACGAGAAGCTCAGCGTCGAGTTATGGGATTCTGACAGGAATACTGCCGATGATATCGTGGGCAAGGTTGAGCTGTCTATGCAAAACTTGCTTCAACATCCTGGAAAGATGTTCCCTATTACTTCCAAGCTTCAGGGTATGGATGCAGGCACTGAGATGCCAGGAGAACTTTTCTGGGAAGTGGGATACTTCCGCAAACCACATTTCCGACATGCTCTTCGCACTGATGGCAAGGATGAAACACTCCCTAAGGACTTGAAGGACCATCCTGCTCTCCAAGATGAGAAGGGGAATGTACCTGAGCCCGAAGATGATGCTGAGGCAGTTACATGCACCCCTCCTGATCCTCTTTGGCCGAGTGGTATATGCACAATCGTCATCCATCAGGTTGTAAACCTGCAAGTTCAAGATATCAAAGGAACTCTCAAAAACAGAAAGGGTAACGAGTATGAGGCCGCTAGATCTTATGGAGAGAGTACCGGGGAGGAAGGAAAGCAATTCCCAACCAGCTACTGCACTGTCCACTTGAACGACGAGCCGGTAAGTAGTAAGTTATCTCACAGGACTGTCAGATAATCTAACTGTTATTATAGATATTCCGCACCCGAGCCAAGGCAGTGTCCAGTAAGCCCATATTTAACGCTGGAACGGAGAGGTTCGTTCGGGATTGGAGATCAGCTATGGTCACCATTGCTGTCCGTGATCAGAGAAACCGGGAACATGATCCGATTCTGGGTATTGTGCCCCTTAAGCTCTCTGATATCCTCCAGGCCAGTTCTCAAGTCACTAGATGGTATCCCCTTGACGGCGGTATTGGCTTTGGACGTATTCGGATATCCCTCCTATTCCGCAGTGTTGAGCTTAGGCTCCCGCCGAAGCTACTTGGATATGATGTCGGCACCTTCAGCATCACATCAAACAAAATCATACTGCAAAACTGCGCGTCTCGCGGTAAGTTGAAGATCAGGACCAGTGGAGTTCATTATTCGGTGCCTCGTTCTGCGTGGAAACCGGATTCCATAGAAGAAAATGGAGGTTTCTTTGACCTCACATCCGACTTGAAGGAGGAAATCATATTGCCTACCAAACATCGTTATCGGTCTGCGATAATATTTGAAGTTCAACATAGCTCCGGCACCGCCCACGCCCTTGTGTGGCTCCAGAACCTTGTTGACAACGAAGAAACGCCCGTCGACTTACCTGTCTGGACAGCTAAAAATGCCTGGCGACTAGTTCAGAACTACATGACAGAAGAGAACTGGGAAGAAGCCAAAAATAGTCCTGGTTTGGAAGACCTTGAGATGGTTGGACGAATCCAGTTCAGCTGCCGTTTCACCCCTGGTTTCCATCAGACCCATGAGAAGCTGGTCAATAACAATGATTCCAGGGAAGCCTTTGAAACATGGGAAGCGAGTGTATCTGAAGGCGTACGGGGAGAGATCCGCTCAGAGGTTCCTCCAACGGTGCAGAGGTTACATGAAAAGTCCCTAGTCCAGGAACGGGATATCCTCCGTCAAGCCAGCGCCAAACTTCGAAGGCCTAGATCGAAGGACAGCAACTTATCCTCAATTGACGATATTATCCGACAATCGATGACAGGAAACGCCAGCTCTCGTATGGAGGGGGGTGCAGCATCCGAAGGCCAACACGAGAACCAGAGTAGGAATCAATCTCGTCCAACAACAGCCGGGAGCGCAAATGCAAATGCAAATGTAAACACAGATGCAGATGCAGGCGTAACTGCGAATAGAACCGTTCTAGCACCCATGACGGTGGGCGGAGATGGCATGCCTGAAAGCCACAATAATCCTCAGATGATGGACTACGCCGACGGCCCTACCACTACTGAAGCGGTTGATAGACCCCTCGGAGAAGGAGAAGTAGCTGGAGCTGAGGTCGCCGGTGGTGGAGCTATGGCTTCTCATGAATATGATCTAGATGATGGTAGGGTGGATGGCCATGGCGAGAATGACAACAATGATGACAACACCGACACTGCACTTGCTGACGGGGTCCTCTCGGAATCAAGCCACGAAACAACGGAGGAGAGGAGGGAACGAATTGGCAACAAGGAGAACCGACGCAGCGAATGGCGAAAGCATCGTGGCGTGATGCAATGGCGCCCAGCTCGTAATGCCGCTTTCGTCAAACACGAAGCTTCGTTTGCGATGAAGAAGGTGAAGGACAAGCTTATGGGCGACATGACGGGCCGCGAGCCAGATATCCAAACCGAAGTCGGCTGAGCCAGATTCGAGTCGGACATTCTGGGGCTCTTTTTGCTTCTTTGGACCGGCTGAGGGTCTTTGCTTCTATCCCCACATTCTTTTAACTTGTTCACGAGCGTCTGCACATACTCCAGATTGATCGTGCAATGTACTCCGTATTGCTGGGCTGATAATCTTGACCCCGTGGTGCTATCATAAGTGGTAGGAGATCTGATGTCCTCCGGATGTTGTCCGTATAAACTAGTCAACCGTTAGTTACCATGTCAACAGCACTCGAAGTGAATGCCCATGGTTATATACATTGTTTCAATGCTTTCCTCTCATAACCATGGGCTGGTGATGCTGGGTGCAAGCTTCATCTTAGCATGTCTGCAGCCTCCGTTCTTGAGATGGACGTTGGATATATTTCATATTTGCAAAAATAGAGACAGTAAGAGGCGGTCGAAGTACATACTTGGTAGCCCCCAGATATCGTCATGCTTGCTGTCCCTATTCTATAAATAAAACGTCCCGGCCTCTCGCCTCGTATTCTCTTCGCCTTTCTCTCTCTTTAATAGATGCCTCCTAACGAGCAAGCCTACCCGGCGAGACCTATCAAAACGTTTTCAAAACAGCCCACTAACGCCCTACTCGTCCCTTTCTTTGTCGTTTCTTTTGATATCTCTTCCGCCTCTGTCGGTCTGTCTTTGGCCGAATCAAGCAACTTGAACCGTCCGCAGATAAATGACGGCTCATCCAGCACAGACAGTCTGGAGTCCCGTCGAGAGTCCCGTCTGGAGTGATTATCATATGTTTCAGCCCATGGCGGCAAATTTGCTCTGGCTCTCTGCCGTTTTTGTTTCTTTTCTTTTGGATGCTCATGGCTGATGTTCAATGCTCGATCCCTGGCCTTGCATGGCGCTTATCTTTAACACAGACTTCCCCCTGTCCCTGTCTGTGTAGCAGAAGGCTGAAACGTTGCACCATCACGAGTCAATAATAATATATCAGTCTAATTCTGGCTCTCGGGGCTGTCGAATGGAGGGAGTTCAGACAGAAGGATTCTATCTTCAACTTGCAAGAGTGAAGAAAAAGCAAGACGACCGCCAAGGAGGCCCTTTGCTTCCAGCCGGCCTTCATCTCGTTTCTTCTTCGGCTAAAAAGCAAGGAGAGCCAGTCAAGTTCGGATTTGAGGGTCATCCGTGGTGGCCGGCCGTCGCTTTTGGGCTAGCATCAGCGGCTTCATTATGGGGGCTGTCAACATACCGAGAGCACGGCCAACTGTACGGAGCAGGCAGCGATAGGATGATAATCTCCTAGCAAACAAAATAGAGCAGTGTTACAGAGTAAGTAGGCTTAAATATGTACGGAGTAAGGGTATACTAGTTCTACGCACCATTTAGAGGATGTGGGTTGGTATTATACTCTCCGTCCATCTTCATGTTTGTTTACTACCCCTGAATGAAAAACCTGCCTGTAACAAGTTGATAGGGACCTCAGATGCGATATAGTCGCCCTGAACAGGCCTATACACATTCACGAATACATAGCAGTTGGTATCATCAGTATGCTCGTCAGTAGAACAGCATCCACTACCGATGGCTTCACAGAATTGGCATTAAACCCCCGACCAACCTTTTTAACCGGCTAAAAACAACATCACCAGCCATTTTTAACTATACCATGTAGCTCTATTTCATCTGCTCGGGAACACTCATGATATAGCTTGCACAACTAGGGCTCTGGTAGACTATCCATTGGGCTAAACTCCAGCCTCTCGTTGTCGAGCGGCCTTATGCCCATGGTTGAGTCGTTTTTGATACCCTTGTTATCTCTCTACATCAACTCGTCGACACGGCAGTTACTCTCACCAAAAGACGGTAAAAGCCAATTGTGGTCACATCAATATTTGTTCATAATATGAGTGGATATGAACGGATATCCCTAACCACCCCTGCAATCCACCAAGTTGATCAAGCTCAACTCCTCAATCTGCCGAGCTTGGAGATTGTTGATCGGCCAGAAGACTTAAATTTATCATAGTCGGACTTCATTGCCAACTCAACAGGCTTAAACATGAAGAAATCACTCGGAAATGCTGCGATGTAAAGTCCGTTTGTAGAACTGTACGACCATCTGGGTATATGGCAGAGAAATTCAGGCCCAATGCTCATAAATTGCGTGTAACTAGTGATTGTATAATCACTGGTAAGCATGAAGATTGGCATGGGGATAAATTTAGCAGGCCATTTATCGATACAGCCAGAATGTTGATTTGAGAGATATTACCAACAGTTTGATAAGCGGCTGCACGGCTGGCTGCTATTCTTAGAAATGTGAGAGGTGGAGTTGGTTGTCAGCGTCTAGACGGCTGCAGGGCGAACTTAACCAGAAGTTCGAACCGTTGGAAGTATGAGCACGTCACGGTTAACCTCTGTTCCTCCAACAGCTTGCTTGTTCGTGTTGGGGATCGGACGGTCGGACAGCTACCTGCGTGATATCTTATTCTCCCCTGTCCTTGAATTGACCAAATGGACAGAAACGCACATAAGCAATTCCGGGGTGTGATCCAACATGTCCAGAGGGTGTCGGCGAAGATCCGCCATTGGTCCCCTGAGAGGTCAAAGGGAGATGGCCGCAGTGCATCCTGCCCAGGCAGGCCAGTGGGAGACATCAGATGCTACGAAAAGGTGCAGGTTGGCTGTTCTCCCGAAGCTGCGAAGTGTTGGTTACGTGTTAGTTGGCTGGGTGGCTGCCGTTGGTGTCTATGCTGGGAACTGCACCGAAAGAAGGAGATATAGCCAGGCCAGAAGTCCCCCATCCCCACTCCCCCCTTTTTATGCTTCAGGCAAAGAACTCTGGTAGAACTTCGAGTAGCCACTTCGGAGAATACTTAGGCGTGATGGGGGAACGATACGAACGCCATAAAAGCCGAATCGTAGCCCCGAAGTGAAGTGACGACGGAAGGTTGGCGGTAAGAGAAGTTAGACGGCTGTGGATGGATACGAGGCGACCGAGTCAGGCGAACTGTTAGGTGTTGATTTCTTTTCTTTTTTTCTCTCTCTTTCTTTCTATATATATATACACGTAACTCTTTTTGTAAAGAAAAATATATATACATAACGTCATGCGTGTTTCTGATTAAAAGTGAGGTAGATAGCTTTATTCTCAATATGTCCAGCTATTGAAAATTAAGTAAAATATTTGGTATTCGAAAGGGAAAACGCTACATGGGTATACAAGCCAAAGCTTCGTTTTTGCTCCCAGACTCCCGCCAAAGAACAGCAATAAAAACAAGCAAATGGGTGTTATGTTTCAAGGGCAGTGTGATGACAATGCCTCTCCCAAGCAGAGTGGTTAGAAGTAAATAAGGATGGAGAGAAGCAGCCAATCCTGAAAGTTAGATGAATTTATATATATATAGAGAATTGTAAGTATGCACGGTCGTCACGTTCGTTGGCATCGTTATTGAGTAACGGGATTCGACGAGGAATGGCTTCGGCCTTCAACATGTTAGCCTTAAAGAGCCTGGCTTGACAACCGGGCTGGAACATATCCCGGAGCCTTGAGACGGCGGAGGCGTCATGTCAGCAAAGGCTAGGGGGGTGTCGTCGTTCTTTTTCTCGGTATGTGGTGTTGAAGGTACCTCGTACGATGCCTCTGCAGGGGGTGTTGCGAGATCGGAGCTCGGAGGGCTGGAAGACTGAACATGACCATCTTTTATCGGCCCCAGAGTCCACCGCCATTCCCGCTGGACGGTCCGTTGGTGTATAGGCGTTTGTGGAGGTAAGCTGTCTTCTCGAGAGGGCAATATGCCATCTCGGACACCGGCTGCAAGGATTTGTCTCTGGCTGCGAAAGCTCTTGTGTTTTGACCGGGTCTGCTTTCTTGTTCTCTTAGGTGACTTGACTGCATTCTCTGACTCGTCTTCTGACGGAGTTGATCCGCTGGATGCGGAGTCGCTGGAATCGGAATCTTCCTCCGACGAACTGTATGTGTATGTGTCGAGCGGGGAACTCGCTCCGGAGGCATCTGTCGATTCAATGTCGGAGTGTTTAGCGGTAAACTTGACTGTCTTTATGATCTCGTCAAGTGGGTATCGATATTTCACTCGTTTTGTAGATGGGGTTGACGCTGTCGCTTCTGGGCTCCCAAGTTGTTCTTCAGCCTGAGCGGGTGATGGGATGGGTGAGTTTCTTAAAATTCCCCGTATGCCCTTTGGAAGCTTGTAAGGCGGCTCTGCAGCCCGGACAGGTCCTGCCCTTGCAGGTGATGACGGCGCACGCTGGCGATTCCTTGAGGGACCTTTTAGAGGTGACCGACATATTGGTGAGTTGATACGGTGAAATGATTCGTAGGCATTTTTGAAGGTGTTCCTGTTGGTAGGGGACTGACAACTGTTACTCGAAACAGCCAAAGATAGTGCAGTTGACGATTTGCCAAAGGTGACGGGAACACAGGACGTTTGGAGAGATAGTTTGGGTCTCTTGTTAATATTGGGACCAACTTGGTTCCGGATAGGTGTTAGAGGCGGTGCTATCGAGGGCACGGTTGGGTATACCGCTGGTTGGGTAGCCACTTTCAGCATATTGGTAGGAGGCTGGTGGTAATCTTCTGAAGGCGAGATGACGGGCGAGTATGCGGTCGCTGAAGAGTGAGATGAAGAAAAGGACGCAGGTGAGAGGGCGGTTGAAGAGTATGATGAGGATGATGAGGAGAGTGCTGGAGAACTACTTCGTCCAGGAGAGGTGGCTTCCGGTTCCACTGATGTGAGGTTGATGGGCTTCTCACTAGCCATTGGTATAGTGATCATGGCTACTCTTGGGAGTGGGAGGATGTTTTTAATTCAAATAGCCCAAAGAAGAGGAAAGTCAAAAAAAAAGAATATTGAATCTAGGAGAAGACTCAAAGTCCGACCGACCCGACCTCGAGACCACGCGAGAGGCGAAAACCAGGACAAAAATAGACGATCCAAGGAAGTTCGCTTCCTGCAACGGGGGGATCCGGATGTGGTAAGCAAGAGACAGTTAAAACAAGTGAGTTGTCATGAGTTGGAAGTTGTCCGCAAAGCACGCGAGGTAAATGTTGATATAGCGACAGGGGAAACAATCTATGATAATGCCAGTTCGAGTGGACCCATGCATCGTGAGAGATGGCGAATATCTGGTGGCGGGTAAATTTCTATTCTTGTGGGAGCTTCATTGGGGTGTCGAATTTCAATAATTGTTTCGATCCTGCCTAGGCGACGATCAGAGCGTGGCAGAGTAGAAACTCTGGCTGAAGAGCGTTTTGTGAAGTGAGGAGGAAGAGAGAGAGAGAGCAAAGGAAAGGGGAAATGGGAGAAAAGGTAGCGGGGAGGTTGAAGAAGCAGAACCAAGTGTTATAAAATGCAAGTTACCAGGGTAGCATAGACGGCCTCTCAACCGTCAAATGAACATGCATATGTAACTAAGAGGGAACAGGAATCCTGATCTCAATCATCTCGGAAATTCTTTTCTTTTCTTTTTTTTTTTCTGCTTCATTTTAATTTTCAGTTTGCCAAAGTAAAAATTTAAAAATAAAACGTACAAGATGGAAATAGACAGAGGGAGAAAAAGAAGTGCGAAGCGCCCTCACAGGCGGAAAGGCACTGGGGCAGGGACAGGGGCCGGTCCTGGCGAAGGCGCACCTATCCGCCAATCGAAGGCAAGGGGAGCGCAGGTCTCTGAACGAATCATGGCGATCGCTAGCGGAGCCACCACGCGCTGCCTATTTATATATCGGCACCACTTGTGGAGGCATCCCTTTTTTTAGGCAAGCGTTTCAAGGCCTAGCTTATTGGCTGGCAGTGGCCCTATTGACAGATTGAGGAGAAGATCGCTGATTTCCTGTAACACAACACCAGTGTATCTGTGAAAAACCACTATTAGCATACTGATCAAGAGACAAGAGGAGATATAATATAAGTAAACGAGATATGCTCCCACGATACGAGGACGAGGTTATCCTTCTCCGATCCTTCTTGAGGAGATGCTACCTCTTCCACCATGTTGGGTAGCCACCAGCGGTTCTATCCTTGCAGAATACGAACTCCAGACTCTGTTGCGTCAATACGAGAGAGAGCCCTTATCCATATACGTACATACTCCGTCCCTGCTATGAACGCTCCAGACCCCGTGCATGCCCAGGTATTTCAGGAATCATTCTTTACCCTCGCTCTGTGTGAGAATAAATTAACTGCCGTGTCTGATTCTGAATCTGAGACGACAAGTTTGGATGAATATTTGTTTGGAGAACTGGCAGCAGAAAGGCTCTCGGGACGGTGGTACAGAGCGGGGCGATCCGTTCCCATCCACCTGAGTTACGACTCTCGTCAGAATAGAAAAAATGGGTGCTGAGGAAGGGATGCCTCCTTCTGTCTTGGCCTCTCATGTGCGGTCTCTCATCGCTCCCCACTACAGAGGTTTGGTCAAGTTGGGTTTTGCTCAAGATCAGAGCGTCATCAAGAAGGGAGGGAATCACTAGCAATGCTGTCAGAACGCAGAAAAGCGTCACCTGTAACAGGAGAAGCGCGAACGCCACCCATTTCTTTTTTCCTCTTTTCCATCTTATCCCACTCGTCTTTGCCAGTCCATAATATCTTCCGAACAACCGAGAGCTTCATGGACTCTTTTTGCATGGAGGAAGTTGGACTTAACTCATCTGGGGGTGTTGGGATGACCGTCTCGTCCAGAAACTTATGGTGTGGTTCCTCCCCAATCTGGACAAGGATCAGGATTTGTGACAGGTGCGTAAGCTTCACGGACAAGAGGCCCTATCAGGTAAAGGTCTCGAGCCAAAGCCCGTTGCCTTTTTATTTATCCTTTCTCTCCCCCGCCATCCGCATACATAATTTTCCCGCAGTTATATGCAGCGTGTGCGCATCCACCTTTGGTCGAGAGGACAAATTCGCTTGGTCTTTCGGAGTCTCTCCACGGCTCAACTTGCCAATGAGGTGAAGCAGCCTGTCATGGGGGGTGATCAGTATCTGCTGCACAAGAGAGCATGCTGTTAAGAGAAACACCTAAATCACACCCATGTCTGAACCGCTTTTTCCTCCGATGGAAAAAGCAAGTGGCATAATTCTGCATACCACAATATATCTTCTTCATTTTCTTTAGGAAGTTCATTTGTTGTCCCCTCGGATCATACCTCAGCCATGCCCACTAGGACGCCAGAAAAATAAGCATTTGCGTCGGGACCGAGAGCTGTCCCGGACTGCATCAGGAACTCGTCCGCCCGTCTCTAATTAAAGCCCTGCAGTGATGACAAGACGATGATCTGATGCATAATCCGCTATTTCTGGCTAACGATGACGATGACGATGATGATGCTGATGGATGATGTGCAATTGACGTTGTGTGAGGTTGAAGTCGATGTTTGTTTTTGAAGCCAGAAAGAAAAATAACACTCAAAAGTCTGTGCGTTGTCCTAATCAGGCAACTCTCAATGTCAGACGTTGTTTTGCACCAAAAATCGAGTCTTTGGCGAAATTTCATCGCAGTTTTCGATTCTCATGCTCTGTTCAGCTGGCACAACAGCGTGCTGCTGCATTTCTACATGTTCGCGCATCAGCCTGCCCTGACTCGGAAAAGAGATGCAGCGTCCTTGTTCCCGGAACCACTCCCTGCCAGGCCTATATTCTTACCCCTTGCGGGAGAGAGTGGTGAATCCATGGGAAGAAACGGCAAGTAGTAAATTCGCTCTACGGAATACCAGGGTCCATCATTTATGCATAAATCTAGGTGTTGATGGTGGCAAAACAAGTATAACAGTAAAACTCTCTGCCCTCGAGTCAGTATATTCGATATATAGTTATATCACCCCAGAATCGGTTAGTGATTAATATGGAGTATTAGATGAGAATGATATCACTCAGCAGCAGCCCCTCGGTCATCATTACGGCGAAAGTCCACACCCCATCCACCTTCTTCGGCGCAAGTGGCTCAATTCTAATAGGCTGAACGCACTCTTCGGCTCTACCCCTTGCCCTCTCGTGCATCATTGTGCATCTGTTCACTCTCCAAGGACAAAATCGTCCTAGATGAGTGGATCAAGCGACGAAATAACCATCTCGTTGAAATGGAATTTAAAACGAGGAAATAATAATAATAAGAAGGGCTCATATATATGCAATGCCAAAAATCCCCACTTTGTGCACAGCATAGCTGTCGATCATATGAAGAACGGGCTTTCATTCGATGCTGTCAGCCACTGATTTTTGCATGGATGTGCTAGTTATCGACAAGAGTTTATAACCCTTCCCCTTCATTTTTAACATTAAAATCCCCTCCTGTGCCCTTTGGGAGCAGATCAACATACAGGGCGGGACGATCGAGACGCTTTTCCATTTTCTGATGGGCCCACGATGGAGATATTATTAGTATTTCACCCGACCTTAATCTCGGTCCAAGGCAGCGTGCGAGACTGAAACTCCTTGTCTGAGAGTGGATTTTCAGCCATAGCCAGCCGTTGAGACGTGATGATGGTTTCAACTGGCTTTCATTTCCAGGCTACCTCTTATATCTTAATAGCTATGATATTGGGGCCATGACTCGTGCAAGCAAGGAGAAATCAAGGATAACTAGCGTGTGGAAAGGGAATAACTACGCAGAGCAAAAACTTCAGCAGGAAAGAAAACCTCCGGTAGGCCGTTATGTTTGGAGAGACGAATCATCAAAATATAATCATAATTCGTTTGACGAGAGTCTTGGGGCTAAGGATATAACTCCCGATGTTATACTCCGTCTTGGTGAAGCTCCATCCAGCTCGTCTTCCCATCCTCCCTACCCCCTGAGCCTTGCTAAATGAGCTTAGCTGCTTAAGTAAGAGGAGCCTTGCACTTCGGCTTTCTCCGTGCATTCGAAGGTTTCTCGGAATTCTTGACGTTTCATTTTCTAGCAGCCCAAGAGCAGCTTATATCTCCATTCCCTGTGAGGCAGACGGGAAGACGTCCCTTTCTCGCCGCCGCAGGGTGTCATCGACCTTCGAGGGCATGGTCCAAATTAGACACTTGACGCACACCAAGTCTCGCTACCCGTCTCGGCACTGCAGGAGACGACCAAAAGAGAGAGAGGGAGAGAGAGAAAGAGACAAAAGGGGGTGGGAAGAAGATAGGCCGAAAAGCAGCCTGGGGGGAACTAAATTGGTAGGAGTAAGTTACTCTGTAGGTTGATCCATTCAACCGTGACTTCCTGCCATGTATGTGTGCATGTAAGTAACCAAGTATATTTGATGCATGGCCTGGTTTGTGTCGAACACTTTCCAGGCTGCCCTCCATCCCCTTACCCTGCCCGCAGCCGGGATGGCAGTACTTAGTAGTTATGACTAACTAACAGGCACAAGGCAGTGGAGTAGGCCGGGGAAAACATCATGGCGCCCTCTGTGCAGAAGCAAGGGGTTCCACCGATAGACCATAGCAGGGTCATCTTACATTTTGTCAGCATTCCCTCATGCCAGATTGTTTGCCCGTTTGTCCTTTTTTTTTTTTTTTTTT